TCATAATATTTTTTGGAAAACAATGTGGCAAGACCAAATGAGTCTTGGGAACTATGGGCAATTATTGTTGTCTCAAAGGATAATAATGCTTTTCTGGTATTGTTTCTATGCATGGGATTACTCATAAGAACCATGGGAATGAAAGACCTTCAACTACTCACTGCAGAGCTATTGGGTAATTTTACTTTATTTAGCTTTTGCATGACGAAAAGCAACTTGTTCACTCTTGTGAACAATATAGTGAATAATTACAGTACCTGCTATTGACAAATGAGCATGATTTCTAAAGGTACAGTGGTCATTTTAGTCAGAAATATAATTATTGAGACTAAAGGGATTTGATTTTTTATACTTTTAATAAACAGTTTAAAAGTAGGTTTGGGAGAGCTCAAGGTCATGGAAATTCTAATTGTGTATGTGCTGGTTCAGATACATATAAGTAACCATTCTGAAAGGCAATTTGGCTTAATAAAGATCTGCTGCACACGTGCTATATAAAAGGTTCTAGTTAGCAAACCAATAATGGTAATAGAAGATATGCATTACACTTTGGATGAAAAATTATAATGAATCTATATTGTGAACTTATGTATAGTACAAAAGGTTATGCTGGCTTTTCACATAATCATTCACTTTGAGCTTCTGCCACCTCTGGGATTTCGACGTGCTGCAACATTTTAGTTTCAACTCTGCTTAGCAATGCCATTGCAAAAACCATTTCAACTAGCATTCAAATAGAATGGAGTATGCGTCAGTTGCCAAATCAACTCACTCAGTATGTGCTCTCGCAGTTCAGTTCTAGAGCAGCTGTGGTCTACTTGGGGGAAGGGTAAATGAGATCACTTGAATTGAAGTAGCTTCCAATCTACATATTTAAATGAGAAACATGGAAATTAACCATGCCTATATGATCCCAAGTATGTTCAGGATTCAGGAGATTGAAGCCACCTCACCTTGGTAGGTAACTACCATCTTCCTGGTAGGCAGAATCATAAGGCAGTTCTCAAGATTCTCACCCCCAGTGCACATGCTCTGTATAATCTTCTCTCCTTGAATATGAATAGGTCTTTGTGTATAAGGGATCTGACTCCCATGATTAGGTTAAATTAGCTGACAAAGCTGAAGGGATTTTGCAGATTTAAGGTAAAGTGCCAAATAATTTGACATTGAATTCCTCAAAAGGGAGATTATTCTAGGTAAACCTGACCTAATCAGGTGAGCCCATAAAAAGAACTGGACCCTTCATGAAGAAAGAGCTTCGAACCCAAAGAGATTCTCCTGACAGCCTTAGGAAAGCAAATACTCATGTTATGGAGAGGACAAGATGGCAGGTAAATTCTTTTCACAACCATTTCTGGTAGTATCCTTCCTGTCCGTGGGTTTAATGCATTCTCATAAACACACATGATATATCCATCAGGGTCCAGGCAAGAGACAGAAACCACATCAGTTATTTGAACAGGGAAAATTTAATATAAAGATGCCTTAACTAGACAAGGAGTTAATAACTAGATAAATGAAAGAATAAAAAGAGATCTCTAAGGTATAATGAGAGTAGTACCTGCAAGAGGCAGCTATCACTCCAACAGCCAGGGAACAAAGGGAAGAGATTAGAAGTATTAAAACCTACAAGGGACCCTGTGAAGCTGAAACTCAGCCATTTGAGAAAGGACTGCTGGCTTCCTGGTGTCTCTGAGCTTGGAGAAGGGCACTAAGGAACTTGGACCCAGATTTCTAAGAAGAAGACTAAGAAGCTTATTTTTCAGGTGCTGGAAAATTCAATCTGGGTTCAGCTGCTGCTATAGGAGGGTGCTGCTATAGCTGGGGCAAAAAAAAAGTAAGGCTGAAGAGACACCCACAAGAACAGCAAGCAGACAGGAAGTTCACAGGATGCAAAGATGAGGGAGCAAATCTCTTTTCTCTTACATCTCTGAAGTCTCCTCTGGTATCTCCTGTTGGCAGAGCCTAACATGGACCCAGCTGGAAGCAGACATGGTTTCAGAGTTGCTCTCCAGCATCACGAGGTGAATATACAAGGGTGAATGTGGAGCCAAGAAAAAATAACTTAGTAGCTGACACACATGGTTTATATTATTTTTTCTATCCCTTATTCTGTCTCCCCGAATGCATTCTAAACTTTCTGATACCTGAAAATCCACAATAAAGTTTCTCCCAAACGATATGAAGCTCACACAGAGTCCATGAAGCTGCTATAGAACACGCGCTGCCATAACCAAAGTCGCTGTCTCCTTGATTTGCTACCACTAAATTAACAGAGAATCCAAGGGCTGAAAGCCCCAGCCACTACGCCTGAGCCCTCCAGACCCAGAAACCACACTGTGGATTCAGCTGAAATGAAGGAACAGACACCTACTTCTGTGTTACACTTGGTTGCAGGGTTTGCCTTGTGCTCCCACTGTCTCAGAGAGAGCATGGAAACACTAACCCATTTTTGCTTGCAGCTTTCTATCACGAGGACCAGAGTTCATTGCACTTGTCAGAAAATTATCAAGAAACAGATGCTATTGCAAGACTTTATCCTTGGTTAATACTTGTGCACTCTGGCTTTCTTTCCCCTTATGGTGAATTATCTAACTGTTTAAAGCAAACTGTGCCAATATGCTACTGGTTATGAGCATCCTTAGATTTAGCCTCGATTCAAAACCTCTGCTACTTGGGATAATATACTATACAATGTGTAAAGAGCATTTTATGAGGCAAAATAGTTTCATAATTATGAGCAGGCTCTAGAGCCTGACTGCTTGAGTTTAAATCTTGGCTCCATTTGTAACCTTAAGCAAGTTAGTCATTGTCTCAGCCTGTTCAGGCTGCTATAACAAAATCTTATAAACTGCATGGCATATAAACAACAGAAACTTATTTCTCACAATTCTGCAGACTGGGAAGTTCAAGATCAAGGTACAAACAAATTCAGAGTCTGGTAAGGGCCCCCTTCCTGGTTCACAGAAGTGCCCTCTTGCTGTTTTCTCACATGCTGGAAGAGGGTGAGAGGTCTCTGTTGGTTCTCTTTATAAAGGCACTAATACCATTCATGAAGGCTTTCCCTCATGACCCTGATCACCTCCCAAATCCCCTATGGCCTAATACTATTGTCTTGGGCTTTAGGATTTCAACATAAGAATTTGCAATGGTGGGACACAAACATTCAGACCATAGCAATTATTCTTTCTAGGTTTTGGGTTCCTCAGCTCTATAATGAGGGGGATAACTGTAGTACCTGCTACATAAGATTGTAGTGAGGATAAAATATGTCAATGTAGGCAGAGCACTTGGAGGAGTGGCTGCCACAGTAAGTGCTTCATAAACGGAAACTGTTATTTTGCATTCCTGTCATTTTGAAAATGTAACCAGATATCATGTTGTCATACCAGGATAATTCTCACTTCAGCACCAAGATCACTATTTCATCCACCTGAAATCTAAATTTTGGAGTTCCTCAGGGCTCTGTGATGGGTTTACATTTTTCCCCTGGTCATTTTCTTTTCTAAATGATCTTATGCTTTACTCTATATATCATTTATGTGTCATCGACTCCAAAATTTATTTCCCACACACAGATCATTGTTCTCATCTTTAAACATACACATGTCCCATTACCAACCTGAAATATCCACTTTGATGGCTTGCAGGCATCTCAAGCATAGCGTGTCCACAGTTGAATACTTAGTAACCCGTCCCTCCTCCAGTCTTTCTCTCCTAGGTTTTTTCCTTTCCAGTAAATTGTGTTGTAGTCCATCCAAGTGCTCAGTCTAGAAATCCGGGAGTCATTCAGGATTTATTTCTCTCCATTAACATCCTGTACTCAATTGATTAGTATTTTCTGCCACTTTTTTTCTCCACACTATAACTCAATCCAATCATTTCTCTTCCCATACCATCATCATGTCGTACATAGACTATTGCTTCTATTCTGCCACCACAATTATTCTCCACGAATTAGCCAGAAAGATCAATTTAATGTGTGGATCAGATCATGAGGTCCTTCTTCTTAAACCCTGTGATGGCTTCCCATTGCACTGAAAATAAAATTTCTGCTTCTGATATGTGGCTCCCAGTGGATTCTTGTGATGTGACTCCTTCTTTACTCTGCAATCTTTTAAGTCTTCCTGGACATCTTTCAGTTCCTTTTACCTGCCAGACCTCTCCTGCCTGTGGCTCTTCATGAATGCAGTTCCCTCTCCTTGGGAGGCTTTTTCTACTTCTTGTAGCTGGCTCAACCTCATCCAGAGGTCTTATCATAAGAGTCAACTGCTTGGAAGAACCTTTTCTGACCACTGTGTCTAAAGTGGGTTCCCTCACCTACCATGTCATTCCTGCCCTATGATTCTCTACCATGGCACTTAATTCACTTTAATGCATGTGTAAAAATCAGTACCATTTCTTACTTTTATATGCCATTGTCTGTATTCCCACACAAAACAGTTCTATATCCGTTTGTCCCCTACTAACCTATGTTCTGCTACTAGCACAGCGCCAATCCCACAACACATATTGGAAAAAAATTTGTTGAATGAATAAACATATCATGGCCCTTCTCCATGAATGTTTTTGTGAAAACAACAGAATTAAATACCCAGAGTGAAAGTGGATATAGTCCGATTCCTCGTGTGATGGTTATATGGATTGTCAACTTGATTGGATTGAAGGACACACTGAAGGATGCAAAGTATTGTTCCTGGGTGTGTCTGTGAGGGTGTTGCCAAAGGAGATTAACATTTGAGTCAGTGGAGTAGGAGAGGCAGACACACCCTCAATCCAGGTGGGCACCATCTAATCAGCGGCCAGCACAGCTAGGATAAAAGCAGGCAGAGGAATGTGGAAGGACGAGTCTGGAGAATTCTGGCCTCCATTTTTCTCCCGTGCTGGATGCTTCCTGCCTTCAAACATCGAACTCCAAATTCTTCAGCTTTTGGACTCTTGGACACCAGTGATTTGCCAAGAGCTCTTGGGCCTTCAGCCACAGACTGAAGGCTGCACTATCAGCTTCCCTACTTTTGAGGTTTTGGGACTCGGACTGGCTTCTTGGCCTCTCAACTTGCAGGCAGCCTGTTGCGGGACTTCACCTTGTGATCGTGTGAGTCAACTCTCCTAATAAACTCCCCTTATATATTCATCTATCCCATTGGTTCTGCCCTTTTATAGATTTCTGACTAATACACCTTATAATTAAAATAGTACAGCAACATATTTAGAATATTAGTGTCATAAAGTTTAAAATTCACATTTCCCTACCTTCAATTCCAAATACATCCAGATTACTGATAAGCTTAACCCTGAGTTTTAATATCTGATGTAATTTCCTATCACCATACCCAGTAGCTGTTGAGTCTTGAGACCTCCTCTTTTTGAGACTAGTCATACCTGCTGGTTCAAATTATACCAGATAAATTTCCAATACTTAGAGAAAGGCACAAATTATATTTCTGGATTAATCAATAGTCACATCTTCTAGTATTATTGTGAAGAACGATTTGAGATCCTAAAATGATTGTTCCCAATATTCTATGCCAAATACATTTCTCTCTTTTATCCCACATATAGACTATGACTCGTGCTACCATGTTTAACCTTCATCTTCCTCCTTTACTGAGGTAGGTCTACCAGTAAATATCTTGAAAAAGGTAGGAAGTACAAAATTTAAGAATGTAAAGTTTTAAGTCTATGTGTACCATACTTATTTATACCCAGGTCAAGAACAAAGTGGGATATACACAAAGATTGTTTTGTGGTGAGATATGTTTAAAATGCCTCTGATTAAAATGCCTACCTAGAAGCATCTCCCCCAGTAATACTCCATGAAGCCTCTCCTCTTTAACACAACCATGCCTCAGATACTTCTATTGAAAATAAAAGTTCACTGTGGTCTGCACTGTCCTCTAGCTACCATTCTCTATGTTCCTCCTTCCTACCTAAGCCAAATGTTTAGGAAAAAGTTGTGTCCATTTCCATACATTCTACTCTGTCATCAAAATACTCCCTTCTGAACCAACACAAGGCCAAAGACTAACTGATGTGGAATATAAAGACCTGGACCCTCATCCCAACTTGAGGTAACTCTTAAGGCTCATCTAAGTATCACGGTTCCCAGTAGGTCAGCTGAGGGCTTCATAGAGCCTGCATCACAACCCAACTTCCACCTTAGCCCAGTTGTTTCTTCTTCTTCCTACTAGTGTTGATCTCAACAATACTCCCTAATAAATATCCTACGCATTCATTTTATCTTAGAAGTCTGCTTCCCGGGAACCCAACCTACAACTCAAGTCTCTACTATTATAAGCATCCTTTAACTTTCTTTTGTATCAGTCTTAACAATCATAATTTAATATAAATTTATGTGTTCTTTAATCAGTATCTTTGTTCCCATCAAGCTCTATGCTTCTTGAAACAAGAACTGTCGTTGTTTTGCTCACTATTGTTTTCTCAGTACTTAGCACAGTGTACTTGGCATATAATAGATGCTTGGTGAATAGCTAGGTGTTGCATGAGTATGTAAATACATTATCTGATAACTCGTCATTAGAAATTTATCTCTTTGCATTAAGTTATTGGGTTTTTAGTTAAAATGCAATTAACTCTTATATTCAATGAATATTATACACCAGTATTCCAGGTTGAGAACTTAAGAATTTCCTGAAGAGAAAAACCTTTAAGAATGGGCTCAGGCATAATGTCTTGAGGAAGAAAAGAGCTAAAGGCTGATGGACGACTGACCATCCACAATGTAATTGAAAGATGAAAAGAATGGCTCTCAGATTCAAACATGGATTTGAAGCCAGGTTTTGTCACCTACTGTGTGATCTGCAGTAAGAATTAAAAGAATTCCAGTTGAAAAACACCAGGTAGAAAGTAAACTCATGATAAATATTGGTCTGTTTTCCATCTACATTGCCAATTTCCTCCACTTACTCTCTAACTTTGCTTCAGAAAAGTACTATGAAATTGCTTTATTTGAATATCCACAGAGGAAGAAAGCCAACATAGAGATGTAGTTTAATCCCTTCAATTCACTTGCTCTTTCTTTACAAATCTTTCCAGTTTCAACTTTACGTCAGTTAGCTGATGATCACACAATCCTTGGGATGGCTGCTATTGAATCCAGTCACAAGTAATGAGCTGAAACAAAGTATCATGGCAAAACTATGCAAATCAACCCATACCTAAATCAAACTAATAGGCAGAATTCTCACCCAACTGCCAGCTAACTTACTTCATGCTAATGGATATTGATCCTAGTTGGAATGGTGGGAAATCTGTCATGCTTGAGATGCCATCTGTTCCAGCTGCCAATGGAAGTTATTTCTCCCTTCCAAGGTCTGTTGGCCAAGAGTTTATCCCTTATTTCCTGTAGATTTTCAAAAGCTTCATTAGGTTCCCAGTCAACACTGGACAAGGAATCTATTCTATTTATTTTCATTACTTCCTACAATTGACTAATTTTATACTTCTAGTCAGGAGCTTCACCTTAACCACGGACACAAAAATCAGTGGAGGAAGGAAGACTTGTGACAGGACATAGGAGTTTTGTGGAGAAAATATCTGAATTTGTAGACTATTCCACAACAAGAGTTAACAGATATTAGATTCCATGAAGCTATAAAGTAGAGATAGAGAGATTATAGCAGTTATCAGTTTATTAGAGGAAGCAGCCAGAAAACTTCCAAGAAATGTATGTGTCTGTAAAAATTAGACCAAGAAAGAGTTTTGCAAGGAAAATTTTAGAAATTCTACTTCCTGTAACACTAGGGTCATCAAATTCTGTGGCTGGTACTGTAGTAAATAAATATCCATTTGTTCCAACTCAAACAAGAGTTGGTGATATCTTTTCATATCAGACCTTATGGAACCAAATGAGCAAGAGGTCTAAATGACTCTTCTATGATAAAAATAAAATGTCTAACTCTATACAGCGACAAGTAATTTGAGTGACTAGGGAACTTTAAAAGTGTACAATTCCATTTATTTCTTCACAAAGGTACATTTCTTTGAAGTAAACTCACTTTGTTTAAAAAGTTGTTATTCTATTCAGGACATACATGCTGTTTCACTTGGAACATCTCTGAAGACAATGCTAATTCTTCTGAAGGTGGAAAAAAATGTCAACAAATTTCTCAGCCATGGGTTATTAGACTTGCCCACCGTCTCCTGGAATCTGTTAATCTAAAATTGACAGTACAATTAGCTGATAACACCTAGTTTAGCTATGGTCGGTGAAGTTTTTACATGGATATATTTAGAAGTGAAAGCAATCTACCTGGTGTTAAGGTTTTGGTTTATTTGAAGCCCTGATGAAAACAGGAAGACGACTTGAGGCATGAATAATATATCCAAAGTTTACACATGTCAAAAGTCTAGTCATGTATTTAAATAATTACATTTGTAATCTTGTCAAAAGTAATTATCAAGTTAATGTGGAGTGGGTAAATTGCTCCATTTGAATGGCCTTAAATTATTAAAATCACCTCCCTCTGAAAGATGGTTTGAATGATTAGACACCTAAACATAGGTTAAAAAAAGGAGACAATTGGCCAGAGCGTAGTGGCTCACGCCCTTAATCCCAGCACATTGGGAGGCTGAGGCAGGTGGATCACCTGAGGTCAGGAATTCGAGACCAGCCTGGCCAACATGGTGAAATCCCGTCTCTACTAAAAATACAAAAAATTAGCTGAGCGAGGTGATGGGCGACTGTAATCCCAGCTACTTGGGAGGCTGAGGCAAGAGAATCCCTTGAACCTGGGAAGCAGAAGTTGCAGTCAGCTGAGATCGTGCCATTGCACTCCAGCCAGGGCAACAAGAGGGAGATTCTGTCTCAAAAGAAAAAAAAAAAAAAAAGGAAAAAAAGGAGGAGACAATTGCACATAATGTGGTGCCCTCAACCCACATTCCAGCCCCTTAAAATAAGTACATCCTCAGCAATACACATTCCAGAACAGCTTCTCTAGAAACGTATCTGCTGTTTGAAGTCCCTGAACTCAGGGCCCTATAAATATCTGTTTCTAATGCCAAAGAGAAGGACTAAGATAAAGAGTTCTCTCAATTAACCACCTTTTTCAGTTAATACATTTGCATTTTTATAATATGTGTATCCATTTATAAAATAATAAACATTAATTGTAGAAAGTTGAAGAAGAAAAGCAGAACCACTCATTCTTCCTCCAAGAAGTAAAATATTGGTAACTACCTATACATCCTTTTCCACACATATAAGGTATATATATGCATAAATATAATATTTACTTACAAAATTGGGGACTATACGGGGAGTATGTATTTCTCTAAATAAATATTGAAAATTTTCTCGATATTAAATGTTTTTCTTGAGCAAGTGTTGTATATGCGTCTATATTCATCGATAAGTATTGTCAGATGGTGATGAACACTGAAAAAAATATATAACAAGTTAAAGTGAAGGGAGATTTGGAGGATAACACTGTTACTGTAAGGGCTCACAAAAGACATCACTGATCATATGGCAGTTGTGTAGAAATCTGAAGCACAGTGCTGAAACCCTGACCATAACAGGGTCTGACATTTTCAAGGAACTGCTGAGAGGCCAATGGAGCTAAAGAGTATCAGAAAATGAGTTGGAGCAGGAAATAAGATATATCAAATGATGGATGTAGAGATGCTAAGTAGATGGGAATATTATGTTGGGTCTTTTGGACATTGTAAAGACTTTGCTTTTTACTCTAAGCAAAATGGGAAGATAGAGGAAGGTTATGAGCAGAATTCCATTCCAAACAAATCAGTTTTTCTTCTCAGTGGTTAATAAGGAGTGCAGAGGTGTAGTGAAGAAAGCAAACAAACCAACATAAACCGTGGAGAAATGTATAGCGATAATTCAGGTGAGAGCAAATTGTGGTCTGGAACAGAGGGTTAGCTGTAAGGACAAAGAGAAATATTTGAGTTCTCGATTCTGTTTGAAGGTAGAACCAATATATTTGCTGACAGATTTGATACAAAGTCAAGAATAATTCTGTAATATCTGACTTAAGATTAACCCTGAAAGTCAGAGATGAACTAATTTTCCCAATAGAGGGCCATACAGTAAATATTTCAGGCTACAGACCATACCTGTCTCTATCACAAGCATTCAGCTCTGATGTTGTACCATGAAAGCAGCCATAGACAATAAATTAACTAATACACGGTTGTTTTCTAACAAAATTTTAATTACAAAAACACAACTGGTTAAACTGGCCCAAAGGCCACAGTTTGCTAACCCTTCAATTAAAGTTATAAAATTTATGAACATAGAATTGCTTATAGTATTCTTTACTGTCCAGGAAAACAGAAATAGCTGAGGTTTAGCCTTACCCCCATCTATGGCCACTCATTAATTTTTGCTGCCTCTCCATCTGCCTATTGTTTACTTCCCAGCTAGAAATGGGGGTGTGTGTGTGTGTTCCAGAATTTTTTCCTTTCAGAGAGTGGGATACAGAGATAGACTGTAGTGAAATTATTCAGTCTTGGATAAAACTAGAATCCTAATTTTTAAGTATTAATCTTATTTTACATTCCATGGATAAACCCCACTTAGTTTTAGCATATTATCCTTTTTATATGCTGCTGGATTTATTTTGCAATTATACCAAAGATATTAACATTAATGTGTTTGTGAGGGATATGATTATGTATTTTTCTTTTCCCATAATGTAGATCTTCTGCTTTTTCATTAGGATAATACAGTAGTACCCCCTTATCCATGGTGTTGTCTTCAGCAGTTTCAGTTACTGGAGGTCGACTGTGGTTTGAAAATATTAAATCAGAAATTCCGTAAATAAAAAATGCATAACCTTTAAATTGTACCCCATTTTGAGTAATGTGATGAAATTTCTCACTATCCCACTCTGTTCCACCAGGGACAGGAAGCATCCCTTTGTCCAGTAGATCCATGCTGTAGACACTGCCCACCTGTTAGTCATCGACATCTGCTTCTGACATCCAACCATCAACATCTTCATGGCTTGATGACCCAGGATCGCCCAAAGCAGATGACAGCAGCTAATGTTACATCACAATGCTATGCCATTCATGTCACTTCATCTCATCATGTAGGCATTTTATCAACTCACATCATCCCAAGAAGGTTGAGTACAGTATAGTAAGATACTTTGAGAAAGAGAGACTACAGTCACATAACTTTCATTACAAAATATTGTTACACTATTCTTACTGTTGTTAATCTTTTACTATGCCTAATTTGCAAATTAAACTTTATCATAGGTATGCATATATGTGAACAAACATATTACAGTATCCACATGCATTGGTAATACCCACAGTTTTGGGCATCCACTGGGGGTCTTGGAACATATCCCCTGCAGATAAGGCGGAGACTACTGTCTTAGTCTCGTAAGATGAGTTAAGAAGCTTGCCCTTTTAAATTTTCTGAAAGAGTTTATATAAAATGAGTATAATTCATGCCTTAAGTGTTTTTTTTTGTTTGTTTGTTTGTTTTCTGTTTTTTTTTTTTTTGAGAGGGAGTCTCGCTCTGCCGCCCAGGCTGGAGTGCAGTGGCGCAATCTCGGCTCACTGCAAGCTCCTCCTCCTGGGTTCACGCCGTTCTCCTGCCTCAGACTCCCGAGTAGCTGGGACTACAGGCGTCCAGCTAATTTTTTGAATTTTTTTTTTTTTTTTTTTTTTTTTTTTTTGAGACGGAGTCTCGCTCTCACCCAGGCTGGAGTGCAGTGGCGTGATCTCAGCTCACTGCAAGCTCTGCCTCCTGGGTTCACGCCATTCTCCTGCCTCAGCCTCCCAAGTAGCTGGGACCACAGGCGCCCGCCACCACCCCCAGCTAATTTTTTGTATTTTTAGTAGAGATGGGGTTTCACCGTGTTAGCCAGGATGGCCTCGATCTCCTGACCTTGTGATCCGCCCACCTCGGCCTCCCAAAGTGCTGGGATTATAGGCGTGAGCCACCGCGCCCCGCCGCCTTAACTGTTTTATACCACTCACCTATGAAGCATTTGGCTCTATAGGTGTTTTTAAAATATAAACACATTTAATTTTTTTCTTGAGTTAATTTTGGTAACCTGTTCCTTTCAAGCTACTTACCAATTGTATATATTTTTAAATATAATGAATAATTTTTTATCAATATTCTTTTACTATTATTATTATTATTATTATTATTATTATTATTTTCTGAGACAGAGTTTCACTCAGTTGCCCAGGCTGGAGTGCAGTGGCGCCATCTTGGCTTACTGCAACCTCCGCCTCCTGGGTTCAAACAATTATCCTGCCTCAGTCTCCCGAGTAACTGGGATTACAGGTGTCTGCCACCACGCCTGGCTAATTTATTGTATTTTCAGTAGAGATGGGGTTTCACCGTGTTGGCCAGGCTGGTCTAGAACTCCTGACCTCGGGTGATCCGCCTGCTTTGGCCTCCGAAAGTGCTGGAATTACAGTGAGCCACCGCGTACAGCCTTTTTTTATTATTTTTAATGTACGTGGGATAAGCAGCTGCCTCTTTTATTTCAGATATGGTAACTTACGTCATCTCTTTTCTTACTCAATCTAACTAGATATTTCTCAATTTTATTGCTATTTCAGAGAAACCAGGGATTGGCTTGATTTCTCTCACCCCTTTTGAATAATTTTAGTACTTACCTTCATTATTTACTTTCTTGTACTTATTTTGGATCTACTCTTTTTTTCTCTTAAATTGAAAACTTAGATAATTGATTTTAGGCCTTTATTATTTTCTAAAATGATAAATACTGCTTTAGGTGCATTCCACAAATGTTGATGTGTTGTGTTTTCCTTATCATTAACAAAAAATTTCATTTTCAATTTTTCTTAGATCCATTGGTTATTTAAAATCACCTGCCTAATTTTTAAAATTTTGAGATTTTTCTATATATCCTTTTGTTAGTGGCATTTAGAACTTTATATAGAATAAAGTAACTTCAATTCTATTATGGTCAGAGAATATGCTCTGTATTATTTCAATACTTCTAAATTAACTGAGACTTGTTTTATGACCAAAATATCTCCTATCTTAATGAGCATTACATGTACAGTTCACAAAATTTAAAACAAAGTATTCTGTTATTTGAGGACAGAGAAATCAATAAATGTGAATTGATTTAACTCATTTGATAAGGTTGTTTAAACCTATTATATCTTTACTAATTTTCTGTTTACTTGCTTTATCAATTACTGAGAAAGGAGTTTTAAAATCTCCAACTGTAATTCAAAAATTGCCTAATTCTCCTTTCAGTTCTATCAGTTTTTCCTTCATGCATTTTTATAGGTTATTGTGTACATAATATTGTATTGTTATGTATTGTTGATTAATAGAAACCTTTATCATTATGAAATGGATCCCTATGCTCCTGATCAAACCCTTTATACTTAACCGATATTAATACAGCCACTCCAACTTTATTATGATTAGCGTTGGTATGGAATATCTTTCCTATGACTTTCCTTGTATCCTGTATTTTTATATTAAAAGTGGTTTTCAACTAGAAGCAGTGGCTCACGCCTGTAATCCCAAAACTTTGGGAAGCCAAGGCAGGCAGATCACTTGAGGCCAGGCGTTTGAGAACAGCCTGGCCAACATAGTGAAACCCCATCTCTACTAATAATACAAAAAAAAAAAAAAAATAGCAGGCGTGGGAGGTTGTACCTATAATCCCAGCTACTTAGGAGGCTGAAGCACAAGAATTGCTTGAACCCAGGAGGCAGAGGTTACAGATCATGCCACTGCATTCCAGCCTGGGCAATGGAGTGAAACTATGTCTCTAAATAAATAAATAAAATGTGGTTTTCTTGTAGACAGCATACAATTAAGTCTTGATATTTATACACTCTAATAACCTCTGCTTTTATTTAAAATATTTAGTACTTAAACATTTACTAAAACTATGTAACATACAGTGAGACCAGTCAATATTTGCTTTTTTTTTTTTTTTTTTCACTATCATCAACTGGGAAATGCAGACTTATCTGAAAAAATAATTTTTATCCAGTTTCAAAATTGAAACTTTTCCAAGAAGTATGATTAACTGTGAATGGAGCAAAATACTAAGGGCATATGCAAGAAATGTATAAAGAAGGAAGGAAGAGATGAGCAGGCCTAAAGGTAAAGGAAACATCTGAACAATGGATTATGGAACCTGATAATATAAAACAGTATTGGAACCCCATGCCTGGAAGGAATAAACAGCAAAGTTAAAAATAATAGTACAAGGTTTGGTAAAGAGTGTAGTTAAGAGTAAAGAAAATTTTAGGCCGGGCACGTTGGCTCACACCTGTAATCACAGCACTTTGGGAGGCCACGGAAGACAGCTCATGAGGTCAGGAGATTGAGACCATCCTGGCTAACACTGTAAAACCCTGTCTCTACTAAAAATACAAAAAAATTAGCTGGGCGTGGTGGCGGGCGCCTGTAGTCCCAGCTACTCGGGAGGCTGAGGCAGGAGAATGGCATGAACCCAGGAGGCGGAGCTTGCAGTGAGCCGAGATCAGTGCCACTGCACTCCAGCCTGAGTGACAGAGCGAGACTCTATCTCAAAAAAAAAAAAAAAGAGTAAAAAAAATTTTATATTAACATCTCATTTCTCACTGGAAGATCAGTAAATGCTAACATAATTTTCACCATGTTGTAAATATTGAAAACTTAAAACTGATATATCACTTTAATAATGTAATATATTTAATATACTTACTATAGCAATTTAATATGTGCCATTCCTTTATAAAAATATGTGAATAAGTTCGTCTTTAAATGATTAATATTTCACAACTCATTTTTAACCTTAATTTGTATTTCCATTTCACTTCTCCCACAGAATTTTATCTGAGTGACATGCTTCTGTTTGAAAGTCTTTGATTTAACATACTATTTACATTTCTGCAACAAGAATATGTATATAAATTAATTTTTGTAAATTTATGCTAATTTTTTTCCTGGATTTAGTATTCATGCAATTGTTAGTAGTAGCCAATTGATACAAACATTTGGCAAGTCAGTTTCCTCCCAGTTCACTACTTTCAAAAATAAGCTGGTAATTTAAAATTGTTTATTTTAAATTATAGATGATGTGATTCAGATATATAATGCTGATGTAATTGGACAAAATTAATATAACCATCCTTCTGCTATTCCCATCTGCTTTTTTATATAAATACATGTCCTTAGTCTAAACTATGAAAAACAAATTATTAATTTAGGAATAAATTTGATACTAAACCTTCTCCCATTCTAGTAATAAACAATGCTTGCCCATATAAACAACACTTTTTGAAAATGCATATTCATCTCATTAAGAGATGCATTGTTAATAAAATGTTACATTTAATAATCAGTAAATTTTGTGAGACAGCATGATCTTATAAAGACTAAAAGAGTTTCTCTAAAGACTCCACCAACAAACTTGTTAGGACTTATAAATAAATTTAGTAAAGTTGCAGGATACAAAATCAGATACAAAAATCAGTAGCATTTCTATGCAAGTCAAAATCACAATGAAATACCATCTCACAACAGTCAGAATGGCTACTATTAAAAAGTTAAAAAATAACAAGTGCTGCTGAGGTTGTGGAGAAAAAGGAATGCTTATACACTGCTGGAGAGAGTGTAAATTAGTTCAATCATTATGGAAAACGGTGACAACTCCTCAAAGACTGCAAAAGAGAACTACCATTAGACCCAGCAATTCCACCCAAAATTCCAATTTTGGGTATATACCCAAAGGAATGTAAATTGTTCTATTATAAAGACACATGCGCGTTTATGTTCACTGTAGCCTTATTCACAATAGCAAAGACATGGAATCAACTTAAATGCCCATCGATCATAGACTGGATAAAGAAAATATGGTACATACACACCATAGAATACTACTCAGCCATAAAAAACAAGAAGATGATATCCTTTGCAAGAATATGGATGGAGGTGGAATCCATTATCCTTAGCAAATTAATGCAGGAACAGAAAACCAAATACCATGTGCTCTTACTTATAAGTGGGAGCTAAATGATGAAAAGACATGGACACAAAGAGGGGATCAATGGACCCTTGAGCCTGTTAGAAGGTGGAGGTTGGGAGGAAGGAGAGGATCAGAAAACACACCTAATGGGTACTAGGCTTAATAACTGGG